TATTCTGTATTATTAAATAAAAGAACTATTTTAGAAATTAACAAAATATTATTATATTCAAATTTTTTAGATTTCAGCATATCTTTTTAAAATAAATAAGAAAATATATTTTAAAAATAATATATTATTATGCATTTTATTATGCATTGATTATCATATATTACTTTATAATTCCGAAAAGCAGAAAAAGATATACATAAAACTATATATATAATAGTTAACTCGCAATAATGAGGCCAAATAATATAGTAAATAATCATATGAGTCGAATGACATGATCGTCATTCAACTCTACTATTATATTTGTTTCGTAAAGCATATTATTCGCTCAGGATTGCTGACAGTTACTTAAATCACCAAACGTAGGTGATTCTTACAACATACTTAAGCATGCGGACGAGAATTACTTTCTCTGCAACCCTTTATAAATCCATCATTAATTTCTTTTTTTCACTAACTATTTAAATAAAATATTATATATTATATATTATATATTATATATTATATATTATATATTATATTATATCTATTTTTTTATTATAATATAATTAATAATTAAATTATAAAAATATCATTATGAGAAATAAATTAAAGTTTTTTTAAAATCACTTTATAAATTACAGATTAGTAGTTAAGATTACAAGATAATATTATAAGATTAAAAACAAGATCACTGCAAAAATAATACATATAATTTTTATTAATAGTTATATATTATTCAAATTTATGGTGAAAAAAAGTCGTTTAAATATATCAATAAAATTATTATATATAAATTAATTATCAAGTATATAGATTCAAAAATACATATTTTATTTCAGAAATAAAATGGATACTAATTTGTTGACATTTTTATTGAATGATTAATGAATCAAAATGATACAAATGATATAAACTTACAATTAAAACATAATAAAAAATGCAAGATTAATACAAAAGATATTGCGGAGATATTCTTTAAGAATAAAAGGGATATATATTTTATTTGCTTTATCTAATTAGTCATCATATAATAATGTAATATCATTTAATTTGTAAATGTGAGTTTTTTAATATGCATGTCTATTTTAATAATGTAAATAATCAATTAAATTTACATCTGAGGATCTTTTTTAGATTTCTTGATGAGAACCATTAAATAATTTTTTATTTATAAAATAAAATATTCTAAAAAATTTATAAAATTAAAATTTATAGTCTAATAACTCAATAATATACAATTATTTCTAAATATTTCCATCCAAAAAAAACAAAATAATTATGCTAAATCAGAAATTTTGCAGAGATTCTCGTGATACATGAGAATGTTGAGTTATATTAATTTATAATAAATCCCTTCAGTACATTCACGATCGCTAATTTATTTTCTAATCTGTTTTCATGGAACCTCGATGGAAAGTTTTATGCTTTTATAAAGCATTATCTTGAATATTCAATACAAACTAATTTATCGCAAGACGGTTAATTAATATAATTATTGTTAATTATAGCTGACACAGTGAGATTCCGGATTAAGCTAAAGGTTAATTATGGAAGCTCGTGTCCCGTGTAAAAGCATTCAGAAAAATTTTGTTTTTATTTCTTTTACTCTTACAGTTATTAAGGAATTTCAAAGTGAATGTTTTGATGTGCCGTTTACACCATAATCGGGGATAAATGGTGATTACATAATCATTGCGATGCGGAAGACGTGTGAAGCCTTCTACATATGCATATACGTGCTTACATTCCGTCTTGTTTCTTTTACTGGATCACTAGTTTTAACCTTATCTGCGGAGGAATCCTATAATCGACAACTCTGCCACTTCGTGATTAACTACTGATGCAACTTACAGATTATGTACCTTAAGGATTATCTCTGAATGCAGATTTGCAAACTTTTGAAAAATGAATTTATAATGATATATAATTTTTAGAAATTTTGACATTGAAATAATTAAAATAAATAAATAAATAAATAAATAATATTTATTAATTAAATAAATAAATAAATCAAAATAAATAATATTTATTAATTAAATAAATAAATAAATCCCATAATTTTGATGAATGAGAAGTTTTCTTGTATGTTATAATTACTGTAAGAATATTATTTTGATTTTTTATTATATTAAGAATTTGATTTCTTCTTATTATCATTTCTTTTTAATTATCACTTTAAAAATCATTATTTATATATAATTTATTTAGATATATATTACAAATTAATACATTTAATATTAAAGTATATGAATATATAAAGATTTATGTATAATATACTTTAATATTAAAATATATGAATATATAAAGATTTATGTATGTTTGTATTCTATTATATTATATAAGATATGAAAGATATACATATATTAATATTTCTTCATTATGTTATAGAATATTTCAACATTTTCAAAGTTTTCTATTACTAGAAAAATTCTTAAGTATCATATTGTGAAACATGAAGACAGAATAGAAATATCTAGAGGAAAAAAATTTAAGACAGTGAAGAATCTGAGATGTTCAAAAGTGATGAATGTTTTTGAGTTTTCATCCTCATTTCGGCATTGATTTTTTCGTGACAAATCCAGAGCATTAGAAGCATATTCTCGTCATTATCCGCATTCCTTTGCAACAGTTAACGTCTTCCATGTCGAACTTCTACTAAGTGAACATACGTACTCTTCACTTGAACGCATTACTGATTACGCCATCATTCTACGAAACCTTTTTCGCAATTTTATTCCAACCATGATCATCCTCGTAATGAACTGTGTATGAATAGGATGTATTCGGATATCATGGATTGTTAATGAATTATTTTCAATTCATATTATATTTTTAAATATTTTATATTATAATATTATAATATTATATTATTATATAATATTATTATATAATATTAATTAAATATTATTTTATAAATTAAAATCATATTAATTTATCTTTATATGAATTAATTTATCAGTTAGAAAATGAAGTTTCCTTTGTATAGTTATATATTTTTATTAATTACTTTATTATATATTATTTTATTATATAAATTGTAAAGTTTTATTTAAGAAATAGGAAGAAACATTATATAACAAAAGTTCATTAAAATTAATTATTATTATTAAAGTAAAGGCAAACAAAATGCATAATTTTAAATCTGTAACAGTTATGTTGTTATAATAGTTGTTTTTCTTAAAATAGTAATTTTTTTTTTGAAAGATAAAGATTTTTTAAAAAATTTTTTTAAAAATTTATAAAATTATAAAATATTTTTTCTAGCAAACAATTGCTTTTTTTCACAAATTGTACCCACTTCTATATTAACATTAAATTATTATTATTATATACTTTTTTCACAAAAATATAATATCATGTAAGAATTGCGAACAATCACAAATCCAAATAATTAGCGAGAAAAAATATCTAAAATAACATATAAATAACAAGAACTTTTACTTCTTCTAATCAAAATCAACTGATTATTCTATTATTTCAGACTATTAATGGATTCAATAGATCTTCATTTGATCATCAATCTACTATGTTTATTGCATTCTAGAAACATTAATGTACATCTTCCCTTGCTAACCGTTCTCTTAACCGTCAGTTTTAAATGAAGTCAAGGAAATTAACTTTAAATAGAGCGTTGAGGCTAGCACTTTCAAAACTCTTGTAGCATCGATTAAACCGGCAACTCATCTTTCATGTCAGCCGATTTTAAACCACAATCCAAACGCATTTCATTCAATTACATCACGTTGATTTTCGTAAGTTATTATAGCACACATTATGATCAAAGAGATGTTTTGTTTTCTACTTTGCTCACCTTCACCTTTATTTTCAATCGTCGGTAGAAAATAAAAAGACTTATATCTCTCTTTCTTGCTTCTATAGAGGTATCTAGTCAAATATTTGATAAAAAAATTAATTAGAATTTTCATTATTATTTGCATTAGGAAAACATTCGAATAAAGTTTTACTTTTACATTACGTTACACACATCATTTTTATTGTTTACGCATTTTTTTTTTTTTTATATTATTTCATTTTTGTACTATAATATTCTATTATCAAAAGTTAAATATTGATTTATTTAGATATATAAATTTTTAATTAAATTAAAATAATTTTTTAAAATGATATATCATTAATTTTATTTTCATATAAATTTTAATATTGATGCATGTGAAATTTTTATTTCACATGAACTATTTATCAGCATCAATATTTCATATATAATAAATAATTTCACAGAATAATTAATAATTTAATTGATGATTTAATTAATAATTAAATTGTTATTAAAATGGAATAGGAATTATCACTACATCTACTTAATTTATCTGCACTTAACAATTATTAAAAAGTAATAGATAAAAATTTTTTCTTTAAAATATTTTTAAAATTTCTAAAATAATTTCAAAAAAATTATTAAAAAAAATTTGTTTTAATAATTTTTTAATAAATGTTTAAAAATAAAATTATTATCAATTGTTTCATTGTACTCGACTATTTTAATATGTTGTGAATTCGGCGTGTCATCTAACAATTACAGTTTATAATATCAGAGAAAGCATTCTCCTGAATAGCATCAGATTCAGACTTCCTAATGCCATAATATGAAATAAGATCGATCGAAACTTGATATCCTTCATTATGATATTTTTCATGATATGCAAATATCCTTTTATATATAAATAATATATATATAAATAAAATAAAATATTTTTTCATTCTAATTTCATCCTTTCTGATATATCTTTATGACAAGGACTATATTAACGAATGATTTCATCAACTGAAAAATTATGATATACTGAAAAAATCAGTAATTATTTGCAATTATTGATTGCAATATATTATTTATATAACAAACAAAGTTCTGAATAATAATATTTCAATTATATTCGATATTTTTTATATCGATCGCATTTGTTCTTAAATTAAATTATATATAGTTCCATTTTCTGCTCTAGAATAATAAAAGATTAAAAAACAAAAGGCGTAATAAAAGATTACATTATAAAATTCACTATATATTAATATAAAAAGATAAAATTGTTTTTATTACAAAAGAACTAATCTTACAGAACATTTCTTATGCTAATAATAGGAATTGTAAAATCACTTAAAAGCTGGTCCATATGTTGATGATGGAATTCGTGTGTTATAATTATTGCGAATTCCAAAGTTATTATAACTATTGTCTAATGAATTGGAAATTTGATTGGAAACAAATTGGTATGGATAATTATTACCATTATTGAATCCACTTCCACTAGATGGTTGGTAATTATATCCATTGTTTCCTTGAAAAACAAAACATAATAATCAATTCTAATTAATTTAAAAATTTATCTTTTTTATTCTTTTCGTAAAAATAAATTATAATTGAATAATAAAATTCGAAATTTTATTATTTTTAATAAACACATTTGAGTAAGTGAGTTATCATTAATAATCATTAATCATTAATAATAGAATAAGAATCATAAACTACCTGTATTATAACTTCCACTAGCATTATTACCATGGAAACCAAAATCTTGACTACTACCTTGATTATTATTATTATTATAACCATTGTTCTGATTATTGAATTGATCAGGATAAGTTGGAATACCCTCATATCTTACATCTGCGTGGAAACCTGTCCTCCAATCAGCAGTGTAAGTTACTATTTGTGTCCTACCATCCGGTAATTGAACTCTATATTCTCCTCTTACAGTTTCACCATCGCTTGTTTCGCGTCTACCAAAGTCATTTCCGGTTGCTTGATCCTTTACGGCATATCCAAATTCATAAGACATTGGCTAAACAAAGAAACAATATTTATTTTATACTATAAATAATATTGATGATGCGATGGATAAAATATAAAATTGATATTTAGTTTTAATTTTTTTAAAATATTAATTTTGAAAGAAAGAATATTTTTTACTCTCTGAACAATTTATAATTAATATAGAAATTAAATTTATCATCTAAAACGATTAATAATTACAAAAAGATTTTTATTTTTCAATCCAAAAGAAAATCTAACAGATTTAATCAAATAAGAAGTAAATTTTAAAATAATCTTATATGATTCTAGTTGTCATAAATATGTATAAATTTTGCAAATTTTCTTTCATAGTCTTCATTATTATATCATTATTATTTTATATGTAGTTATAGTAATAAATATTATATATAAAATGTATGTATATAAATAGAAACATATAAATAGAATAAAACATTTTTTCTGATTATTTGATTATTTTTTTAAATTTTAAAGCAACTTTTAATTTAAATGATTAGTTAATGATTATAGCAATATATAAACAATGGAGGCGTTATACACTATAATTTTTAGTGTAGCATAAATATGCGTAAACCTTATTTGCATGTAGGTGCTGATCAGAGATGTCGAACTTTCTACTAAAGTGATTTCTCAGATCGTTGTATTGAATGTTTTCTTAACCTAATTCAATGATTTCGTTACTGAACTATTGTCTTGTACATACATATGTAACTTGATAACATGAAGATGCAATTAAAATGATTAAAACTATTTATTTTTTGACAAATTACATGGACTTTTATTATCTTATTTTTCTGTTTATATAATAAATTTATATGAAAAATATTATTACTGAAAGTTGATAAAAATATTTAATTATTTTTTTATATTATATTCAATAATATAAATATTCAATAAAAGGAAAATATTATTTATAATTATTCAATAAATCAAAACATTCATAATTATTTACTTAACAATTGTTAAATTATTGTTATATTATATTCATGATCATTTACTTAACAATTGTTAAATTATTGTTATATTATATTATATTATATATTATATTTATTTTGTATAAGAAAAAAAATGTAAATACTCGAATTATATGATTGATTTTTTTTCAAAAAAAGAAATAGATCAAATGAGAGATTGAAAAAGAAAGTTCTAATTTAATCTGGCTCATTCGACCCGAGGCTAAAATCATACAAATACACATAACTGGACTGTTTAGATTCTCAAGACGATTAGCTAATCGGCAATAACGATTTACATCTTAAATGATGCCTGCGGTCGCGGTTCATTCCTATTAATAATGTTACATCAGATTGCGTTTACATCATCACGTAACAGAATGAATATATAACATTTCATGGTTGAAATTCGAGATTTCGATATCAACACGCAATTTTCGGAACTTGAAATCATATCATGAACACAGTTTTCTATTTCTTTTTTAAATTTTGTAAATTTTTTCCATTTAAAAAATTTTTCCATTAAATATGTATCTTTGTAAAACATTTTTTTATACAATATATATGATTTTATTTCCAGATCAATCTTATTATTCTATATTTTCTATATTTATTCTATATTTTCTACACTTGCTCAACGTTCATCTTCTATTAAGACTCAAAGGAAATCTTATACTTATACCAGTCATTCCTGTTATAGTAATATTCCTGATTTCATATATGATAAACTTGTTCATCTATGCACAGACTAATGATTTTAATGGTCACGTGCTCTTATAATCATTCATACGAAAAATCGAGCTACATAATTCAACCGCAATCATACATCATCTCTTTTTTCTTAAACAATCAATCTCATGTTATAAGATGCGTTATAATATTATAGATATTTATGGTCAACTATAGTCTTGGATATACTTGGAAATCATCAGACGAAGAATTTCGCATCGAATTATTTGAATTTATATGAATTTAAAAATATGATTCCATAAATATAATTATATATATATGTTAATATCAATATTTATGTTTTAAAAAAAAAATTTGTTTAAATAAAATTATTTTCAAATTCCCAATATTAACTCACAACTATAGTTACGTGTATTCTTATATCGTAGTTGCATTAATATAATTTTAACAGTATTGCAGCGGTTTTAAGGAGTGGTTATTGTTCTCTGTCGCAATGCTTAAAGTACTTATGGAGCACATAAATTCTCTTAATCATACCAGTCATTTCGTGGTTAATTTGTGGTTTAAAATAATTCAAATGATTCACAACAATAATTCTTCTCTTGATTTAATTAAAATAAATAATTATGATAAAACATTTAAAATATTAAATTTTTTCAAGCAAAAAATAAATTTTATTATTATTTGTCTATAATCACAAAGATCACAATATTCTACAAAAATGATAATGTAATTTTATAATTTGTACAGTGTAATTTAAGGTTATATTTTAATCTAACCTATGGTAACCTATGGTAAATCTTTATATGGTAAAGTTATAGTAAAGAAAAATATATTATATATGATAAATAATATTAATTAAAATTAAAAAAATATATTGTAAATCATATATTATATTAGTGAAATCTTGATCTTAGATAGAGAAAAAAAATATTGTGATTATGACTATCCTGAATAAAAAGCAAAATCGATGCTCGATCAATCTATTCTAGATTTATATATCCAGATCATGTATTCAGTACTCAACAAAGTTCAATGTTACTTGTAGAATCAGCGTTAACCCAGATCTATTCATCTTTTGCAACCTTTGAGTTTATTATGAAACACTAACGGAAATGCAGAATAAATGAATAAAATATCAAAGTTAAATCATGATTTAAATCATTTAATCTCGTATATATTATTTTAACTATTATTTCTATTATTTTTTAAATATTTTTATTATTTTATTATTATTTTTTTATTATATTAGGAAAATATTGAGAATTAGAAAAATTAGAATAAAACAAATATAGAATTCCTTAATAAATTGTTATTCAATATTTCCTTCTAATACTGATTTATTAACAGCAAAATAAATTTCCCTAGACTAATATCAATCGTTGAAATAATAGTAATTCAATTTCTATCGCAATAGAGAATTATCCGTAATTCAAACAATTAAGATGAAAATGTTTAAGCAATCATAATCATTAAATATATAAAAAAAGAAATTTTAAATGACAAGCAATAAATAAATTATATCTAATCGTTCTATAATTTTAATCAATTCGAATGAATAATCTGAGTTATTAAACTATATTGTTATTATAATCAAATTATAAATTGATTTATTTTAAATCATTTGGATTTACCTGATCGACATAATCATTATCATTTCCATTATCGTAATGATGATTACCAAAACTATTTCCATTTGATGCTCCATGGTTATTACCAGCATAATTTCCTGGGACACCATATTGCGTGTTCAATGTAGGTTCACATTGCACGATTCCTATGCTCACCATTAGAGCGAGAGTTAACTAAAAATTAAAATCTTATTAATTATATTAGATATTGAAGATTATTTACAATCACTATTTGAAGATTTTATCTATATTTGTAGTGTTTATATTATAATATTTATTAATGGTACGTTAAAGATTATTCTAAAAGATAATATTTCAAAGATTACAAATATAACAATGTTAAAAGAAAAAAATTATAATGAAATAATAAACATAACAATAAAAAATATTAAATATTTGATATAATAAAAACTGAAAAATCTTAATGTCAAAACTTAATAAAACATAACCTAATCTAAATATTAATTTATTTTATTTTCTAATAATAATTACAATATCATAATAAAGAAATAGTAAAATATCAATCTTATAGATATCAAATGAATTCCCAGGTATACAACAGATACGTTGAAAGCGCGAGATGATCAAGGCAGCTCGCATTGCGTAGGCGAGAAATTAGAGTCATGAACCAGCGTTTTCCTTCTTGTCGTGAGAAAGTTTCTAAGATATTGCATCATTACGCCCCGTTCAAAATCAGCATTAGATTAAACATGATTGCAGAAAAGGAAGAGGAAAAAAATAAAGAAAAAGGGAAGAAGAAATTAAACGGTTTTGTTAAATTATGATGAATATCTCATTAAGAAAATTTGTTATGTCATCGTTTCTTATATGTCAAAATAATTTTTTAGAAACAATTTTTTGATCATCACATAAGTCATGGTTACTATTCATTGTGCACCAAACAATAAATAAGATATTAAATACAATTTCTTCTGAAATGAATAAAAAGTAAAACTTTTATTCATGAATAAATCAAATAATTAATTACATAAATATTGTTAATTAGATGTATATAAAATGTAAAATTTCTCTCTTTCTATGAAATATTTTAAATAGCTAGATTAATTGATTATTATATAAATATTGATATATTATATATTATATATTATATATTGATATATTATATAGATATAATAACATTCATTATATTTAAAATATTTAAGAATTATATTTTCATAAAGAAAAGTGTGAAAAAAAAATAGTCAGTTATAGTTTTATTTTCCTGAAAAAACAGAATTTTTTTAAAAAATAAAAAATTATAAAAGATTCGTTAAATTTACTTATTTATTATAAATAAAAATATTTTTCAGTTGTCAAAATATGAATATACAATATTATAATTAAAATTAAAAAATAGAAATCGATGATGAAATGCAGATTCAAAAAGCAGAAGAAATGAAGATTGATATTTTATTAAAGAATACTATTTTTTATTTCAAAATACGAGATACAAAAAAAAAGAAGTCTTTTCAGATTATTAATTCCGAAAATTGTACTGTGATGTATTCAATTCATATATTATATTAGATACTAATTATAAAAAAATTAACCTATCTATATGTATACATACGAATTAATCTATATAATGTACACACCTTATATTCAAGATCAATAAAATTTCTTTAATAGATTATCTTTAATATTATTATTACATCAGTCAAGGAAAAAAGAAATAAATATTTGATAATAAGTAAAAAAAAATTTATTATTAAAAATAAAAAACTTATTATAAATATATATTATATTGATAGAAAATTATGATAGATTAAAACAAAGAATCGTAAAATCGAAAATAAATTTTAATAATTGGAGAATTAAATATTTATTTAAATTAAAATGAAATTACAATTAAATTGATAAAATAAAATTGATGAAATAAAAAATGCAAAAAACAAAAAATATTATTAATCAAAGCTACTGAAGCACGCATGTGTGTAGCTATTTAAGACGAGGTTAGAATAGTTGCATATAGACGAATTGTGAAACGCGTATATTGTTATTTATATTCCTGTAAATCGTACATACCTGTGCTGCTAACTAACAAAAATAATTACACAAAACTAAATGCATTTACATAATGAAATAATAAGTTTAAATATGTAAATATGTAAACATATAAAAATGAGTCGTACAATATCCAGTTGTAAAAGATGATTAATATACTTCTCACCGGAAAACATTAACTGTATAAAATAAAATAATATTAATGTAATTATTTTCAATTAAATTCAGATAATTTTTTTTATAAATAGTCACAATGAATCAATATTGATGATAGTTAAAATATTTGGAATTAGTAAATTAAAGCTTCAATATTTGTACTCAGGCAAAATAGTAGTAGAAACTTTAAAAGTTTAGGTTAAGCTTATAAATTTATAGAAATTTATAAATATATTAAGAATTTAAAATTAGAAAGATTTCATTATAGTTTATTTCATTTCATTTATGTATTTTGAAAATTGAAAATTGTATGACATTTACTGAAAGTAGAGGATTGTGAGATTAATGAAGAAAATGAAAAAATTATAACAATTTGAATTAGTTGTATTAATAATGTAATTGATTACATTGATTTATAAAAATATTAATAATTTTTTGAAAAGATTATTGATTAAAGTTTATTACTGATTAATATGAAAATGAATAATTGTAGAAAATGAATATAAAATAATAATATAATTTGTTCAAAAATATAATGAGATCGCATAATTTTTAATTTAATGAAAAACTGAATTATTTCGATTACTTAAATTATATCGATTACATAATTTACGATCACCTTAAATTTTTGAACGAATTATAATTTATATTATACTAATAACAATTATTAGAACTTTAGAAAATTAATAATTGTCGTAGAAAATTTTTCATAAGCATTTAATATTAGTATTACATGCAATTTACCAATTTCAGAATTAAATAATTATCCGAGAATATCAATAAAAACACTCATTAATGTATCAAACATTAAAATATTAGAAATATTAGAATATTAAAAAATTAAAAAATTTATTAAAAAATATATAATTTAAAAATTCAAAATTTAAATAATTAAATTTAAAAAATGTTTTTATGATTTAAATTTATTCTAATTTAAAATTATAATTTTTATATATATTTTTTATTTTATAAAAAAAACAATTTTTTTTAATTCCAAAATAGAATAAAAAAAATCACTTTTTTTGGATAATTATTCACTTCCAATTGCCGAATCTATCAATCCAAACTAAAATTAACTCCTGTTACCATATTTATGTATCTTCCACCAAATAATCACCTAGTTCCTTAAATCACTATTCAACGGAACACGCGAATATCATAATGTCGACGCAAGCATAGCACCAGTACCAAAGATTGTAAAAATTCCACTTGTCAATGAATTTCCTGATTACCTGTCGCACTACTCTGTTCATACTGTTTGAGAGTACTCGGAAAACTAGAGCACCGTGTGGAATGTTGAATTATAGTGATGTTTTGCTTTATACCTGGCTTATATAGAGAGCTCACCTACGACTACAAAGATTCATTTCCTGTCGAGTATGGATCTTCCTTCAGCAAGAGGAGAATCCGCGTGGATCTCCTCGTGTATAAAACTAGGGATCTTTCCTTGTACTCCAGTTCACATAGGAACGCTAAGCGTGTAGAAAATCCGCGCTTTATTTCCCATTGTTTAACTAGCAGCATGCGCGATTTTGGGACGGCCTGGTATATGAGAGGAACGCATCTTTTTTCCAGAGTGGAGAAAGCTGATTACTTCACCGCGTGGGATAGCCTATCTAACTTAACTAGCAGGACTAATTAACCAATCAGGACTTAATTAAAACAGGACCATTGTCCATCTTTAAACCAAAAATCAAATAGTGAAATAATGTTTTTGAAACAAAAATTATTTAATATATATTGGTATAATAAGTAATTTAGAAAAGCTCATTATACAGATCATATTTCTTTTTCAAAGTTAATAAAATTGACTTAAGTAAAAGAAAAAAATTGTGATAAAAAAATAACTAAATAAAAGATCACCTTTCATAATCATAATATTAAAACATAGAATTCAATTCTACAAATTAATTAAAAAAAATATTTAAAATGAAACAAATGTAACAATATTGGCTCTTAAAGAAGATAATCTTATAATAATAATAATTCTAATTTTTTCTTTATATCCGTCTTTTAAAAAAGAATTAATGATTTAATGTTAGTTTAATTTGTTTATTCATTGAATGAATAAAGAAATAATATTATAATTTGTGAGTAATTCCAACATTTAATAAAATGACGGTATTGTAACAATGAAAATATAATTTAAAACATAAACTTTACAAAAAAATTGGGGTTGAAGTTGATGACGCGAACTTGATCTCATCTATACTAATTTCTTATCAAATTGATTTATGAAATAATAATATGATTTATGAATAATGAAATAAAAATAATATAGATTAAAATGTTATATAATATATTATATGATTAAATTATTATAATATATTATATGTTATATAATATATTATAATAATATATTAAATACTAAAAGGAACTAAAATACTAAAGGAATTAAAAGGTTATTTGATAAACAAGAATTAGGTTAGATTATATGATAAGTTGATCAGTTAATTATAAAGGTGATTAATTAAGTTAATTAGTAATATATGATACTNTAATAAATAATTAATATATATATATATATAATATAATTAATATTAGTTGTAATATTACTATAAATATTAACTGTAAATTTAATGTTGAATATTAAAAATAATATTAATGTAATATACAAATAATATATTAAAATCTATAATAATATAATTATAAAATAATAATTATAAAATCTATAATAATATATAATAATCTATAACTAATCTCATATTAGTAATTTATATTAATAACATGCTTCTAACATGTTAAAAATATTTTGAGATAATTGTATAATTTTTTCAATATAGCAGAAAAAGATTTATTTACTCAATGGTCAATATATTGCAATACATTTTTAAAATTAATAAAATCATATATCTATATGTAATAAAGTATGTTAAAAAATGACATGAGCCGTAAAAAATAAATGTGACAACAATGAATATTGACTGTGATGAAATCGACAATTGATTTAGAATTGATTTAGAAAATAATTTGTATTTGAATGATATTAAAGTCATTTTTCAGTTATACTTCCTAAACGACTATGTTGTAAAATTATTACGAGTAATTATATTTCATTGTTTTTCTTCGATTAATGAATAATAAAATTCATTCATTCATAAAAAATATTTAGAGATTTGCTTCATTTTATTAAAATTATAAAAAAATAATTTCAAGATATTAATATATCTTGAATAAATAATTTCAAGATAAATATATAATAAATATATAATATATAATAATTATTATAATAATTAATTTTAATAATTTATGAGATTTATAACCAATATAATTAATCGATTTCATATGATGTATCACAGAAATGATACAATAAGAAATTTAAATTAAATCTATTAATAAGCATTATTAAAAAGAAGTCTTAATTACAATATAATAATTTTTATTTTAAAAACTAAAATATTATGCTTAATAGAAAATTTTAGATTCAATATAATTGAATTATTAATAAAATTTTTTAAGGTCATTTTTCATAAAATTAAATATTGAATAAAATTTTCAAAATCAATAATATATTTCTTTAACTGAAGAAACATATCTATCTTTCAAATATATATGAAATAATATCGATAATTTTTTTATAAATTACAAAATGACATTAGGATATTATAATTTTTTTTTAATCATTAATATAATTAAGAAGAAATATTTTTCATATCCTAAGATCTGCTTAAAATTACCTTTTTTTTTTTTTTTTTTAGAAAGGTAAACGGATATAACGGGATTAATAATTGTTGATCATGTTTAAGACAATAGACATAATCATGGACTAACAATCTAATCTGTTCGATCAATGAGTCAAATGAAACTTAATCAAGACCGCTTTATTGTTTATTTAGTGTGCGAATTCTCACTTTCGATTCCTTTCGTAATCTTTTCCTGATTGTTTGCCGTTACGTGAACGGAAACAATGGCATTGCGATAAACACCGTGCTCCCTCTAGGGATTATTTGCTTCATTAACAATGTTTCGAAGTTGTTCAATTCAAGTACATACAAAAAAATTATAATTATTTTATTATTCAATCAAAGTTGTATTTTTATTAATAAAAAATTTTATATATATGAATAAAAACTTTTTACTGTTTCTTTGATTTTTTTTTTAATATATAGTAATTTAATAATAAATTTGAATACTAATGTTAAATTGTCTTACTTCGTTCAATTAATAATTAAAAAGATTTTTAAAATGATTTTTCTCGGCAAATTTTTTTTTCTAATCATGATAAATAAACTTTTAATATAATCAAGTGATGTTTTAATTTCATTTCAATGTTACATAAAATATAATAATTCGATCGATTTTTTCTTTTTCCCTTCTATTTACATATCAAGTTAATATTGCCTGGTCTCTTATGAAATAATATATGAATAATGAAAAACATTTTAATGAGTAACTATTAATTCTAACGAAATTTTTAATTCTAACGAAAATTAACTAAATAAAATATTATTGATGTTATATACTTTTTTTAATTTTGTTTTACATATTTTCAGATCAATCTCAAAGAAGATAAAAAAATAAAAAATAAAATTAATTAATATAAGAAATATATATATTATATAAAGAATTATATATAAAGAATTAATAAAATAAAATAAAAATAAATAAATAAAAATGATGAGAAGAGAAAAATAATTATTTTATTTTATTTATTTTGAATAAATATACTAATATATAACTAATATATGAAAAAAAATTTCATAATGTTAAAATTTGTGTTCGAAATTGCTTTTAATCTGTTTCTTCTAAAGAATGTCAATAATAACAATTACAAAAAAAGTATAATAACAATTATAAAAGGAATAATGAATAAGAAGCATAATATGAAACAAAACAATGCTGCATATGTAATATCAATATTAAGTTAGAAATTAATACTCTTTTAATATTATTAGTTTATTATTAGTTTATTTTTTAAATTTTTAAACTTTTGTATTTTTACTTTTTCTATTTATTTATTTTTCTATTAATTATTTATTTTAATTTTTATTTTTATTTATATATATATAATAATTTTTTATTTATATATATTTTATATTTTTTATTCTTATATTTTTACATAATATTTTTAATATTATGTAATATTAAATTTTTATTTTATACTTTGATTGTTAAAATGATTACTGTTTAAAAAAATTATAAGATACTATATTATAAAAATGATCTTATTTAATGATATAACATAATAATCACGTTTACATCAGCACTTATACAAACAATAGAAGTAATAACACCAAATTTGGATTAAATTCTATCTATTTCTAGATCATAGAAAGCTGGCATTATTTATTTATTTTCTAAAATATATTACAGTAATTAATATCCTATCATAAACAACGAATCTTTGATATCAACAAAAAAGAAGATATCTAAAATAAAAATGTTTTTTCTCCTTCAACATTTTTTTTTTTAATTTTCTTTTAATAAAAAATAATTTTTAATTAAATTTTTATTGCAAAATATCTTTTATTCATAATACTACTAAATAATTATCTAATATTATACATGTTACTGTTGTTTTAATTGACGATCTCTTTTAAATTTACTAATTGGCCGGATATTTTTATTTTCTTCTTTCTTTCTCAAAATTTCATTTGTTATTTCTGTTATACTTCTTTCTTTAATATCTTTTACCACCTAAAAATTATCAAAATACTTATATTATTTAATATGATTATGGTTCAAATAAAATAATATATTAAAAGAATTATATATTTTATACAATTTCATAAGCTGAAGATTGAATAATTTCTTCTTCTTTTTCTTCTTCTTCTTCTTCTTCTTCTTCTTTTTCCATACTATACTGTGGAACAAGTTGTTCTGGATTCATATCATTTAATGATCTTTTCAAAATAGATTTAGGTTTTGAAAATATTCTATAAATATCTGCTGGAGTTTCTATTAAATTTCCTTTTGATTTTAAAACAAAATTTTCAGAATGACTAAATTCTATTCGAAAAAAATCTTCCATATCTACCATACTTTTGTCGTTTTTTTCTTTTTCTTTTATCGAATTTTCTTCTTTATTTGAAATATCTTCTGGTTCTACAAATGAAACAAATTTTTTTATTTTATAAACTTCAACAGAATCTTTAGATTGTTTTGTATCAGAATTCAGAACTTGTTTTTCTTCTTTTTTAAAACTTTCTTCTTTTTCACTCTCAGAAGAACTTTCCGATTCATAATAACATTCTCCATCTTGTAATTCTTTTTCAAAATGTTCATAATCTTCTAATCTATAAATCAAAATAATTTTTAAAAAAATGCAAAAAATGCAAATTTAAAAATCAGAGAAATCAAAGAATATTAAAAAATATACCTATTTAATTCATCTGCTAATTCTTCTTCAATTTCAAGTTGATCAAGTCTGTTAAATAGATCTTCTTCTGTCTCTATCTTTTTTCTTTCTTCCTGTTTCAATTTAACTAATTTCTGATGATACTCTCTTTCTCTTTCTCTATGCTTTTCTATAATAAAAATTAAAAATTATTCAAATATTTATAGAATTTAAAATATATAAATAAATAAAAAATTGCAATATTTGTAAAAAAAAAAAGATGAGAATTTACTTTTCCATTCTGTAATTTGATTTTCATTCCAATGTTCTATAATCTCTCCTCCAGCAAAATCATCAAAAAGATTACTTTCTAACATCATCATCCTTGTTTCATATAAATCTCTTTCTGCATTTAAATTATTTAACATTTCTTCAGCTCCTAGGATATATAATTTTATAATTATTTATTAAATGCTAATTATTATTTAATCATCATATTATATACATCATTGTATGTATATTAATAATATTCATCATACTTTGTACTCTTCTTTTACAAAGAGCTATAGCACCTGAGGCACTATATTTTGCAAAATATCCATCACCCAAAGAAGTAAGTATTTCATTAGTATGAATTAATTTTCCTTTCATTAAAGCTCGTTTTCCAATAGGTATCATACAATTTACATATAAATCTTTTTGAAAAATTTGTAATGTCTCTGCAACTTTTTGATGATTCTTTTTGTAAGCTATCCATATTTTACATTGTTCTTCATTGCGTTGAATTCCCTTAAAAAATAATTCTGTATACTTTTTAATATTTATTTATTTAAAATATATAATATTTTTATAAAACACTTAGGCAAAATGAATTTAATTAAAAATATAGAAGTTTAAAATAAAATTAATTTTTTTTCATATATATAAAAATTTTTTTTTAGATATTTATTTAACAATTTACTTTTGTGAGAGCTTCGTCCAGAAGTGCACATTGAACTTTTCGCATATCATCTACGAAATTCATTGTTAAACTAAAAAGTTAATTAACAATATATTATTAAAACAAAAAAGATCATTGACTTTATTAAAGAAAAAAAAAATTAATTATTCATTTTCGTATTATATATTAAAATATAACAATAAATATTTATTTTACATTTAACAATTCAAAACTTTTAAAGTTTTAAATTAATTATATAAAATATTTTGTTTAATTATGTAAATTACTTTACAATCATATTTTAATTTAAACATTTATTGTTATAATTTTTATTGTAAATATTCTTTCCAATTTCTTAATTCTTTAAATATAACCTAAAAAATAGTATTCAAATCTGACAGATCTTTAAAATATTATTCTAAAGATGTCACTGTACAAAAATGATAGTAAAAAGATTAATTATTAAACAATTTATTAATTTTTTTAATAATTTAATAAAAGTTTATTTATAAACTATCATAACTTTAATATTTTTCAAAAAAAAATAAATAAAAATTTTTACGTTATAAATATTCATATTCATTTAAATATAATAAGTACTCTTGTTGGTAGATGGCTCTGTAGTTGCAATTTAGTTATTTAGGGACATGTAATTATATGTTCCATTGGTTCGTGACTTTCTCTCTTGTTTCCTTTTTCCGTTGAAGAGGTATTACAGCAAAATGGTTAGTGAATCGGTGAAAATCTGTTTTCAATTAAAACATCCTATTCAATTATTGTTTAAAAATTTTATCATAATTTTTTTTATCATAATACGATTAAAAATATTTAATAATTTATGTAAACAGAATGATACTTTAAAAATAATCGTGTGCATAACCTTACTTTTTAGTAATAAGATATTTTTTTCATTTTTAACGAAAATTTTTGTTTGATCTATTGTATGTTTTAATATATATAATATATATATATATATATTATATGTATGCGTACGTATGTGTGTGTGTTGTGTGTGTGTATGTGTATGTATGTGTATGGTTAGTTATTGTTGAAATCTTTAAAATTAGCCAAGTGTATAAAAGTGCAATGTAAATAGTGTTGTGTTTATCATTCCAGGGTAAAGTTAAGTGTACTGATCTGAGGACAAAAGACAAAAATGAATTACTCAAGCAACTGGAAGAACTTAAAACTGAGTTGACAAATCTTCGAGTGGCAAAAGTTACTGGTGGTGCTGCATCGAAACTTTCAAAAATGTATGTATATATTTTTTTAATTTTTAATTTTAATTTTATTACATTTATTTTATTTTATTTATATTAAAAACTCAAGTATAAAATTGATCTAATAATTTGTAAGATTAATATATAAAATTATATAAAAATAAGGAATTTATTCATATTTTAAATTAATAATAGTTTTATTCATTTTCTTCTTTTTCCAAATAATTAAAAATATCAATTTTTATTTTTTTTTTTTTTATGTATTTCAGCCGTGTGGTGAGAAAAGCAATAGCTAGGGTATATATTATTATGCATCAAAAACAGAAGGAAAATTTGCGTTTATTATACAAAAATCATAAATATAAGCCTTTGGATTTAAGGCCAAAAAAAACTAGAGCTCTTAGAAGAGCATTGACACCTTATCAAGCCAACAGAAAGACTCTAAAAGAAATACGCAAGAGATCTGCTTTTCCTCCAAGGAAGTATGCTTTAAAGGTGTAAATTGCAAGATACTAAGGGATAAAATAAAGGTTTTTTAAAAATTCAAAGAAGTATTATTTTTCAACATTTAGGGGAAAAAAATAAAAATTTAAAAATTATTGCCTTGTATTTTGTATAGAAAAGAGTACAAAAATTAATCTTAGATAAACAGCTTCTATTTAATCTACATTCTTGATTGTTTAATATCTAATATTGTTTGAATTTGTTTTAAGGATATAATTTTTTTAAAATATAATTGAATATGAATAAAAAATTTTTAGTTTTTAATTATAATCAATAGATTATAATCATACATAAATTAGAATTTAAAAAATAGAAATGAAATTTATTAAAATTATTTTTGTCCAATCAAACAATTTTAGGTACTTAATATTCAAGAAATAACAAAAGCTGTAAAAATTTAAAGACGAATGCCAGGGTTTCTAGAAAGCACAAAGTTCAGAAGTTCATCACTGTCCTCACAGACAAATGGTTTTCGATGATGGCAAGCTACATCATGCCATTTAATTCCATCATTGTAAAAGTTATTCAGAATTGATAAACAAGATTCGTCGTTACCCTGCAATATAAATTCATACATTAAAAAACTATTAAAAATGAAATTTGAATAAAGCAATGGAAAAAATATATATATATTTATAAACGAGTTTTGTTATATATATGAAATTTGAATTAAGATAAATTTTTTATCAATATTACCTAAAATTAATAAACATTTCAAATTTTCATTGCCATTAATTGTTTGAATTTGTTGTGCATATATGTTGTGTTTATGGAAAAATAATAAATTACCTGAGCAGCTTCACGATTATCAGGTTGTGCTTGTCCATATCCACCAGTGTGACTCCAATCTCCAGTATTACGCTGTGTAGTTGGACCAATTTTGGCTCCTGAACCAGACCAGAACCATCCATTAATGTTCTGCGGTTGAAGATCTGGTCTGTCACAACCATTGAAATTACATTTGCGTCCAGATGTCCAGATATATCTCACATTTCCTATATAAAGATAAGAAATAAAAATTAATTTTAAAATGAAAATAAAATTAAAATATTCTGTTTAATAATTAACCTCGTGCTATTCGTTGTTTGATAAATTCATTTTCTTGCGGTGTTTCAAGAGAAACTGCATCCATACAATGTCTACGACAAATATTACGAGCATCCAGCCAATCTACTTCGAGATTTCTAGTCGGTTGATGTTCCCAACTGAAAAAGTACGAATGTGCAACACCTCTAGCATCCCTATAAGTGGCATGTCGCACCCCTAAAACAAGATTTATTTTTTTATTAAAAAGATTAAAATAAATCAAACGATTGAAAAACACTTACGATTGGCACAACTGCGTGGATCAGGAAGAGCAAGTCGGCGTTGAGCATTCACCACAATAATGGTGAGAAGTAACATTAACCATATCATTCTCATATTGATAAATTCCTAAACAAACGAAAAGAACAAGAATATAAGAATAGTTTTAGAATATTGAAGTTTCATTGTCTAAATTATGAACAAAAAAATTTGTAAATATAGTAAAAAATTGATAAATCATTCAAAGTTATTAGAAGTAGATAACAAAAAATTTTTCAGAAAACAAAACAGGATAAAACTTATAATTCATTTTAATTTAATTTTTGTATTATATATTATAAATTAATTTATTTTTTATTTTAAAAATATTTAATAATTTAACAATAAATGATATTTAAAAACTCATTATACGAAATGACTTCATTAAAGAAAAAAATATTAGATAGTGAATGTTCTAGGAAAACATCTTCTCTTGTGTTGCATATCTATAGCAAGTAAAAGTTTCTTGGGAACTAATCTTTGTCGAGGGTGAAAGGAGACTTTTCAACGGTGAATTATGACCCGAGAAAGAGAGAATCGAAGGAAGATTTCTCACGGTGACGAGAGAGAAAAATGCTGGAAGATTTTGCAACAGGTTTTTATTTTTTGTAATGTAGCGCTAACTTTTCTCGGAGTCTTCATAGGCTTGTTGCAACTTTCTAAATCGTCTTGGTGACAAAACAAAACGTCAAACGATCTACAATTAATAACTGCAGTAAGCATATAAATATGAGGCAATTACTTAAATAACATTTTAAAACATGATAAAGATATTGTGAGAATACAAAAATATTCATGAAGAAATATAATTTTAAATAAAATGTGAAATTGCTATTCACTATTCTGAAAAATAATTAGAAAAATTTATTTAAATTAAAAATTTAATATAGAAATTTTGAATCATATAGTTAAAATAATAATTTTTAAATTGGTTTTAATTTGAAAATTATTTGCACTTTGTATATATAAAATACAAAAAATATTCTGAAATATAAAAAAAAGTAATAATATAAAAAAAATTTCAAGTAATTCAAAAATTTAAAGATTAAAGAAATATAATAATCTTTATTATTTCTGAAAATTATGTACACTTATTATTGAAAACAAACAAATTATTTATTAAAAGTGATTGTCTATGCTTAAATATAGATAATCTATAATTATAAAAAAACTATACTCTTCAAAAAAAGAATTTATAATTAAAAGAAAAGAAAATCATGCTAAATTATAATTATATTTATTTTTATATTATAATCACTAATATTTTTTATTTAATAATTCGGATAATTAAAATATCTAATGCATAATCAATATTGCATTAACTCCGCTCATGTTCGATTATCTTATCTGAATAATAATGATTTTTATTTGGTATTCTATGTCATTGCGGATTTAATGAAACTTCGTTCATAATGTTGCGGCTTTCGCTAAAAATTAGTGTCAGCGGTCGTTCACCTAAATTGAAGAAATGCTAATTCATTTTTAGAAAAATAATTTAATTATAAACCAAAATAAAACAAAAATTTCATATATAAAATGATTTTTAATGATTATAAAGAAAGTTTAATATATTTCAAATTACATCTCAATTTGCATCAAATATATTTTGTAAAGTAATATTTAGTAAATTTAATTATATTGATGCATTGCAACATTATACATTATTTATTTCACTATAACTCTATACAAATTTAATTGAATGAATAAAAATTTAATTATATAATTTATATATAATATATATTTATATATAATTTATATATAATTTATATATAATTATTATATAATAATATATAATTCTTTTATTTTAATCAACAACATTTAAAATAATTCCCTATGAAAGTGAATAGTAAGAATTCTGAAATGAAAAAAATGAATTACATGAATTATTTTATTGATTATAATTTAAGATTAAATATCTCTATGATTTGTTAAAGATTTTCTAAAAGAAAATGCTGAAAATTTCGACAGAATGTTGCTTTATTTATTAAGGAGAATTATTATCTTGTTACGAAAAGATTAGGAAATTTAAGAAATAAATTACTCCCACAAATTACTAATTATTGTTTTCAACGCCATCTTTGATCTAACCCTTATATTAATCACTATGATTAAATTCGTAATATTTTAAAAATTTAATTAGATTTTTATTTTTAATAATTAAATATTAGCTAGTAGTTTATATTTTATTTTTATAATATTTCTATAATATATTTCTATAAATTTTTTTTAGATTATGTGTTCAACAATTAGTTCCTATTTGAAGGGTTTAAAAAGTATTCGTAAAAGAACAAGAGAAAGAGGGAGAGATCGTGGCTTTATTTCGTATCCGCGTGTGTGCTCGTGGAACCGTTATCTGGCCGGCTTTATATCATCCGGTTTACGTGCTGGCTGTGTGTTCTACGTCTTTTTTAACGGCTCCTCGTCTGTATAAGATTGTTGTATACACATATTCGGGACGAGTACAACGATACAAAAACGAGACAGGAACGTGCCAATACGTTCAATGTGAAAAGAAAGAAAAAATAAGAAGAAAATTAGTGTCAGTTCAATTTCGACTTTCGCTTGATCCAATTCGATCAAATTATTATTTTATCTATGTTTTGTTTTTTCTAATTGGATTGGATATATTTTCGTGTATGAATTTTTGGTGAAATAATGTATAGTACATGGAATGAAATTATAAACACATCATATCAAATGGATGCTTGGAAATATATTTTTACCATCAACGAATGCAAAGGTATTTTTATTTATATTAACTTATAATAAAACTTGTATTATTTATACAAATGCATATATTTAATGATATACGGATTATTGATATTTATTCTAATTAAATTTTTCTTTTTTTTTTTTTCTATTCTAATTTTTGAATATTATATTAATATGAAATCAAAAAATAGATATTAAAAAGACACATCTTTCTTTTATTCAAAAAAATAAAAAATATTTATAATAATATTGTCTATTATTACATATAGTAGGAATGGTTGAATCAGAAACTATTAGTTTTAAAAAAATTCATTTTTAATTCAAAACTTTTGCTTATAAGATATTGTTAAATGTCATACATTCAATGAAGAATAGAATTTCTCTTCATTTCAATTTATTAAGTTGTGATGGATATCGGAAGGAAAAAGGCTCATTTCTTCTGAATCTTTTTACGGAAGATATCGTAAAAGATAAATTCTTGATTGAAGTATATTATACTTCATGTTTTACAAGTTACATTCGTTGCGTAGACTTGTGAGGATCTTACGCAAGGAAAGTATATGTACCTTCTTAAACCTCATCACCTCTCACAAATCGGAGAGAAAGTGAATAATCTTCAAAACAAACGTGTTTATTTAAAATTTGATAAACCAATGGCGAATATTAAAGGAATTAAATTTTTTTTCTTGAAAAATAAAAAAAATAAAAAAAATTATTTCTACTTTTTTTTTATTTTGATTAAAAAAAAAAAAAAGAAGTTTTAATTATTTTTTACCATCTAAATTTCTTGCGCTTAAGTATGGAAAGCATGAGAATTAATTGGAAATTCATAGTGCGAATTTGATTAAAAAGTTCATTTGAGAATAATTTTATGAGGCATATATGCATATATGTATAAAATAATGGAATAACTAATTGAGCGTAAATTATTAAGCAAAAGTAATAGAGATTGCATTGTTAATTGAAGAACTGTAATTAATTTTTGTTTGCTAAAATGAAGGCTTTATTATCGAAACAAAGACCTGTATTGTAAATTAAACTTTACTATTTAATTACATAATATAATAAAAAAATTTATTTCAAATTTAATGAACAATGATTTTAATTAATATAATAAATATTTATTATAGAATTCTATATTATTTATTATTATTTATTTATTATAGAATTCTATATTTATTTATATAGAATAATAAAATATATAGAATAATAAAATAAATAATAAAAACTTTAAATTTATTCAAATTTTTTATCCAAATATTTAATAATTTTTAATATTTATAATATCATGTAGTTATTCAGAAAATATTTGTATAATACAAACAAATTTTGGTTAAAAATTATTTTTAATTATCATAATGATAATTATATAATTATAACAATACTAATAAGATATATAAATATATTTTAAATTATGAAATAAATTCTGATATCATTAATCTTTGAAATTCTTGGTTTAAATTAACAGTTTTCATACTTTATACATTATGAATATATTATGAATGAATGAAAAATATATATATATATATATTTTATATTTTTGCCACAAAATGAAAG